CAGCGAGATCCTGGTAGAGTGCCTGGTGCCCGACTTCCGCGGCAATCGAGAGAGCATCGCGACCATTGCTAACTGCGGCCTGGACGTGTTCGCGCACAACATCGAGACTGTGGAGAGACTCACACCCTTCGTGAGGGACAGGCGCGCTGGGTAAATACATTATAATATATTCTGGTTAAATCTCAAAGTAATTTCAAAATGACCAATAGATGGCGCTTTTCTTAACTAAGTTTTTTTTTATTAATTTTTCATAAATGAATTGTAGATGGCGTTGAACTGCATTTCTATAATGTTGACGTAAAAAAGATAAATTTTGGTTCCGGAGGCCTAAGAGTAGTCGTATTTTCCTTTCCACATTTTCATATACGGATACATTAGAAGGGGAATTAGATTTGACTGAGGAGGGAACACATCCTCGTCCGTCGATTGTGTATACCTATACGCGCTTGCTCATTTTACCAATTATGAATAATTTAAAATATTAAAAAGAAAATGTTAAAAATTTACGTTTGTATAGGTATCGTCAAACGCTGAAGGTGTTGGAGACGGCGAAGGAGGTGAACCCTGAGCTGGTGACAAAGTCCTCCATCATGCTGGGTTTGGGCGAGACCGATGAACAAGTGGAGCAAACTATGAAAGGTATTTATAATAAATACACAAAAATTGAAATCGTTATATGCTATTCAAACATCGTACGAGTTTGCGCAGAACACAGATTGACCTTGAGATTGAAATAGACAATAAACATTGCATTCAGCATATCATTTGACACTTTCGCATTTATAATATTGTAAGATAATATTAGCAAGAAGTAAGATGAGATATATTTTCCTATCTCTTCGACACAATAGCTGCAAAATTGAGATTAACGGTTAATTGTATTTTTCCCTCAGATCTCCGGTCAGCGGGCGTGGACTGTGTGACACTGGGTCAGTACATGCAGCCGACGAAGAGGCACCTCAAAGTGTTTGAGTACGTGACACCCGCCAAGTTCCAGCAGTGGGAGAGTCGGGGCGCGCAGCTCGGCTTCCTCTACACAGCCAGCGGACCTCTCGTCAGGTCCTCATACCGCGCCGGAGAATTCTTCATCACCAGTCTGCTCAAAGACAGGAAGGCCAAGACAAACTGATCACCTTCGCTCCTACACTCACATGGAACCTGAACACTGTGAAATTAGTATGACACACTAACGGCTTAGCCACCAACTAATGACTCATCATGGGTTTCTGACAACAAAATCTTTGTATAGAACATATCGTCATCATCTTTGACAAAACATTTATAACAGTATGATTAAAATGGAGTTTTTACCTTAGAAACCCGCAGTAAGAACGATAGTTAAAGACAGGGAGATGGTCAAACTAAATAATCGATCTTTAAGTCGAGGATATTTTTTTTATAAATTGCGATAGTACAAAAATGAATCGAATCAGTCTTAAATTAGATTTTTTGTATTGTTTTAATTGAAAATAATCTGAAATAATATTAGATTTGTTATTTCTATGTAAATAGATCTATATTTGCTTTAAATTGTAAAAGAACCACGATATTGTGATAAATGTGATTATATAAGTGGTAATTCTGCATACATTAGCGTTATCTTTGTGTATGTTTAGTTTTTTGTTAACATTTTAATTGTAATAAAGTTTCAATTGTTATAAAATAGGTATCTTTTATTAAATCCTAACAATTCAGCTGAAATAGACTTCTGATGATTAACTTTGTCACAAAGATGAAAAAAAACAACAGTAACTATTATAATAAATTAAATTAAACATTCAATCGTCCAAATGTGTGACGTCACGCTGTCGTCGGCGTCATTGTCATTGTTAATATTTTCATAGTTCAGAATTCAGTACCACAATTTACAAATCAGTACTGCAACAAAATATAGAGGTACGATTCTACTCTACACCACCGCGTGACGTCACTGAACATGTCATGACAGGTTACCGTTTTTTCGCGGGATTTCGAAATTGATTTTTGAAAACACAAAATGCACAATTTTTTTTCTATAAATTATTTTTTAATAAAAAACACATTGGTTTACAGATTTTTTTTTAATTTGGTACACAAGTCTATTGACTTGGAATGCGCACGGATACTCATTTGATCATTTTAATTCTTCATCATATGAATAGGTATTACTATAAGGGAATTTAGCGGTATTACATTTTAAAAGTGACAGTCGTTGGAACTATTGGTTAATTTTGAAACTGTTTTTTTTTAAATGAATTACAGACTTTTTTTTTTCTTTAACATACTCTTCATTGATGTATTTATCCTGTTGACTGTGTTTATCTTGTGAGAGCTTAGAGGAGAGCTCGTCGCAATGGCAAGGGCAGTGCGCACGACTGGCCGCAGCGAGAAGCGAAAAAACCAACACAACACAACCTGAATACCCAAAACATTAACTAATTTATACCGCGCCCTCTATCCAAAGGATTTAGGCAACTGAAAAAATGGATGTGACATTGCGAATATTGATAAAAAAAACAGTTGAAAATTGTACAAATATACCTGAAGTATTGATTTATTTGTGTTTAAATTATTTACGGCAAAGTTAGTTTCGTAAAAAAAAACAAATAATGACTATATCTGCTAACCTACATTGACATATTTATTAGAAAAATACCGCATCCTTGATACTGTGCCGTTTTCCTAAGTCTATGTGTATGATGCACGTATGGGTAGCAAAAGGAGCCGCGGGCGGACGGTCGGCTTTTTGTGAGTTCGTGCGACAGTAACCTCGCACACACAAGAGGCTTTCAAGAAATAAAGACTGATAAGCAATACAAGACAATAAAGAGCATCAGGGGAAGGTTTTCAATTAAGTTAGATTTTCGTTTGACGCAGAAAGTTCTATCAAATTACTATTATTTGACGTCTCCTTTAATTACGTGTAATCCTAATCGTACCAAAATATTTTATTTGATTTACCATTTTTTAGTGCCGACTTCGTTAGCGATATTTTTCGAACTACCAATGAAGAGGAAAAAATAGTTGCCACTGTTAAAAAAGGAAAAAAATCCCAAACGATACTTTATTGTTATACGTTATCTAGTATTTCGCGTACAAATCAATTGAATTAATGTATGTATGTCGGTGGGATGCAAGCGCAGTGGGCATTGGGCACGCGGCCATTCCCACGGCCACTCATCAAGTATGCGCGGCTCTGAATTTTGAGCGTTGCGTCGGAACGCAAACATGTCCCCGGTAAGCCGTTACAACGCCCACTTTATAGGTATGGCCGCAACACGCGCCTCCCGAATTTATCGCATTTGCCCGATTTGCTTCCAGTTGTTACAGCGCAGTGTGCACGCACACGCAACAATTTATTAGCTGAAGCAACGCATCCAATTTAACTGGAATTGTAAAACAACAATTTTGCTGTTAGTCTATATTGTCTGATATGTTTAGCTTTTTCCAATTACTTCATGAATTGGACCGGGCATCCGTGTTTGACACTCTTGTTCGCAGGAATTACCAGCATGTTTCTATACGCTTCTAAATTATCAAAATTTAAATACAGTAATGTTTCATGACTGTACCATTTTGTTAAGTAAATTTAAACCAAAGGCATTATGTTTTGAAAATTTCTGACGAATAACACCTCATTGATTTATGTCCTTGCTCAAGTGAATTGGCATCAAATCGACCTTGAAAGAACCTTGCATATAGTTACTTGTACTCTGCCAATACATTATGGTTAATTGCATTTCGTTGTCGCTAAGGCACCGCGCTGCAGGGGGCTACGAGACTATTTTAAAATATAATACGCTTTTATTTTTGGTGAATTCCGCGAACGCCTCTGGGGAGAGAAAGCTAATTTCAATTTCATTTAGTTCTGGCGCGATTCCATGCACCCGCCATAGATGAGGCGACCGCTCTAATAACAGAATTGTCTCTGGTCCTACATAAAATACTTTACTTATTTTCCAAACTAAGGTTGCTTCACAAAGAAACAATTGCTTAAATTTGTTTCCTACATTTTTGTAAGATGTTCATAATTTAAGCAATAGCTAAGGTGCCATTGAATGTAATATGTAATGATTTTAATAATAAACTGCTTATCAGTTGAGTAGTAATTATTCAGTTATTGAGTTGAGTAATTAGTATACGCTTCGATGATTTAATTAGTGGCTAATCCAGTTGTACTGAGTGAGGAGAACATTATCATTCTATAACTACGTTTATAAAGTATACTGCTACGTTTTAATTCAATGCAATAAGGATAAAAGAACATATCTAGTTAGAATTTTGCTCTTATCTTTTTGCAATTGATAGCTATGATGGTTAAATAGGTCTACAGCATGATGAATTAATAAGACAAATATTTAATTCGTAGTATATTTTCAGTTTATGTTTGGACGTGTCTATATTAGCATAATCTTTGCGGGCCTGCAGTTCGACTGGCGGGGCTCTCGGGAGTGTCCTGTAGGCACTAGGCAAGAGGCTCTAGGCACGAGGCAGATTACACCCACTCTGAACCTCGATACGCAATTCCATTCGTTGCAAGAGGATTCCGTATTTTTATCGCCTCCACTATTCGATGCCTCTCCTATAAAATTGGCCGCGGATCGGCCGTGGGATTTATAGACTCTATTGCCTTTACTGTAGACCTGATTTGTACGAACCTATTTGCTTAAGATAAATGTAAGGGTTTCCTAAAGATTGATACTGATCTTGTCCAGTCTTGCGATTGTGTATTTTTTAGAAATAAAATTTCATTGAATTTAAGAAACCATTGTTAATTTTCACAAGTAATAACAAAAACAAATTGCAGGAAACTAGTTTTACAAAGAAACTGAGTGCTTGTATATACGACTAGAAAAGATAATTTAGAAAAAAAGCAAGTTCCACCTTTCATTAAAGTTAAGGAAAGATTTTCCGGCGCGCGGCCGCGGCTTCGTTTGCATTTTTATTAGTTTTAATTTGATCGCTCGCTGCAGGCTGCCGAGACTCGAACGGTTTTGTCTACTGCAGGAGAACGATCAGCTTTTAAATACAAATATAAGTAAACTTCCGCGCCTTTCTCTAATCAAATCTAGATTGGAAAGTTTGCACGACTGAAACACAATATTTTAATCTTTCATTTTGTATGTTTAAACAAACTCTGTTTTATTAAATTAATATTTCTATTAAATGCCCTCCTTTTCTCTATGTAAAGCTAAAGTATGTTGTTCAACCAGTAAAGCACATAAAGTTAGGTTATATTAGGAGCTGTAAAGTATGAGTAAGCTGCAGGGATGCTCAGTCCGACCCTGTCCAATTTCACGCTTCAATGCGCGCTGTAATTCAGGAAATAATGCAGCGGGATGCGACCTAACTCTAAAAAGCCCTGCCCCCATAGTTGCATGCCCACGTCGTGCCGTAGTGTCGGATACAGCTGACAAATTGTCGGTAGAGCTTGTAGCAATTATCTTACTGCTTTATATTCATGCTACTATATTAATCGTATGTCGGAGTTAAAATTGTCATGTTGATTATTCTATCTATTATATTATATCCTAGACAATTCAATTTACCATGCATATTTAAAATTTTATATGAATATATTTTGTTTAACAAAAATATTTTATAGTTTATATAGATAGAGATCAAGTATAATATAAGCTAGAGAGTATTGGCATGAGATACTCGAGACTTGGGCGCCGGCGCCGTGTACACTGGCCGAGGCTAATGCGTCTGCGATTGCTTTACCATTGTGCAGGATGCTTAAGAGCTAAGGATAGCGAGAAATTTCTACAGCCATTGGATAACTTTCACTGCACATTCTAGATGTTTCTAAGCGTGAGTATAGTTTATTACAGTCAAAGTTGCAGAGGACTAAGGTAACGTATGCATATCACAAATATTTTTTTTTTAATTTTCTCTTGTGCATTCCTTATTAAATCTATATATGTATTTAATTCTAAGGTAAATAAAATAGGAATTGCTAAAGTTGATGTTGATGTTTCACAACTAATACTTTGGTGTCTACGACACTTGAAATACGAGGTCACATTTTAAAAATGTATATTAAATGCACTAATGTCTACGTCGTAGGCAATTCTGTAGCTATACAAACATTATGACAACTCAAGTCGTAGACGAATGCAGAATCTACATTTAAGTAGGTATTAAAAGATAAACTCTCATACCCTTAAGTAAGAAGAAAAGCAAAGATTACAGCTATTTATTTTGTAATCCACCTTTATCAACAGTGTTAAGGTGTGTCCACATTCTATCTTAAAGTACATCTTTTAGGTAGGATATAAAAGTTATTAAGGTGATGTAAAAATTTCCTAACTGTAATATAATATTTGAGAAGATATTCCTAAGAGCCGTGAGCGTCGGCTCGTGAAATTGGTCAGCGTCTGGACGTTTAATGCAAAGCCTTCGGGAATAAATGGAAATTAAATAAGTTCAT